CAGAGTCGTGGTGTATCCCAGAGCCGTGGTGCATCCCAAAGGCGTGGAGCATCCCAACTTCCGTGGTGCATCCCAGAGCCGTGGTGTATCCCAGAGCCGTGGTGCATCCCAACTTCCGTGGTGTATCCCAGAGCCGTGGTGCATCCCATTTACCGTGGTGTATCCCAGATCCGTGGTGCATCCCAGAGTCGTGGTGTATCCCAGATCCGTGGTGCATCCCAGAGTCGTGGTGTATCCCAGAGCCGTGGTGCATCCCAGAGCCGTGGTGTATCCCAACAGCCGTGGTGCATCTACGGCGCCATTCAGCACGTTGTACTTTTCCTGTTCTCGAAGTTACAGTAACCCGTTCTCCATCTTTATAAATTTATGCTTTGTTAGAGTTCCGTAGTTACAAAGGTTGTGGGGTCAATCCTAAACGATGATCTTGTTATTCTTGTTGCTGCAGCCAGCCTTTCCTTAAAGCATGGTACTGTAATTTGTAGAGAAAAACTAACAACTGTAAGCACTCTACCAGGATCTAAAAATAATTGCCAGCCCCAAGAACGAAAAGTGAAATAATGATCCAGTTTTGGGCCCTGGTTAAATTTAGTAGCAAGAAACCAAATGGTTTTCCTCCGATACGACTTGGAGTAAATCTACCAATTATATCTTCGTGGAAGATTCCAGAACACCGCTTCAAACGTCGATCAACGGCCCAAGCCGTACAATATCGTTATTATCACATTAATGCAGGAACCCTCTTTTTTAAAGCACTAAAAAGAGAATATGAAGCCTAGAGATAAGGACAACACACCACTTGCATCACTAACAGAACTAATATACCTGGTTGGCGGAGCACTCAAGGCGCAAACCATCCCACCTCCACAACCAGTTGTCGACAAAATCATTTCCGCCTTACAAGACGCGCAACAATGGTTGGCAAATCAAGCAACTGCAAGTAGCCTTGTACCTTTCAGCAACACTAACGATGGTGCGCATTCGGGCGAAATCGGCCTTCCTAGGCCGCCATCGGCGTTGGAGGCCTTGTCGCCAAATGTGAAATCCCCAGGTTTCTCCATTTTCACGATCCAAATGATACTAAACAAAATATGCAGACTATTTCAAAAAAGTGCGAGAAGGTTGCGTCGTTGACCCATCAGGATGAACATGCTCTCTTGCGAAATTCAGGTATAATTGGTCATAATAACCTTCAATCCGTCCAACCTGAGCCTTCTACCTACGTAATTGAGGACGAATCTCAACAGGATGATCCTCCTACAAATTCGAATATTACTAAAAAGAAAATCGAGGCAGCTAGTACATGTCAAGACGAGAGGCAAGAAGAAGAGCAAGAAGAAGAAGATCAAGAAGAGCAAGATCAAGATCAAGATCAAGAAGAGCAAGAACAAGATCAAGATCAAGAAGAGCAAGAGCAAGAACAAGAACAAGAACAAGAACAAGAACAAGAACAAGAAACAAGAACTGGACGCAAAAGGAGTCAAATCGAGTCTAGTATTGGACATCCAAAAAAGAAGCGGAGGCAGATTCGTACACCAGTCGAACTCGCTGATGCCTTTGGGATGGATGATGTGAGTGCCATGATCTCAACCATGAAGCAGAACTGGGACGAAATTGCTCAATCTCAACTTCTGCATGACACTGTTATGCCTCAACTTGCTGATGATTTCATCGATACTGGAGATTTTTCTTACGCCGATATTATACTATGGCATGGAAAGCAACTGGATCGAAGTATTCTCCGAGGACAGCTCTACCTTTTACAGACCCGGATGGATTTTGCCAATTATCACAGCCTCTATAACGCGGCTGTTATAGATGTCCGTAAGCGCAATGACTCGGCCTTCTTACGATGGATGAGGAATTGGTATCAACACCAGAGTATAGTTTCGCGAAGCTTTCCGTACGGTCGGGGTAAGGGAAAAGCGACATCAGTGGTAACCGAATGCTTCGTGGACATCCACCTGTCTGATCGCAGATCAGCAAATGCCGGAGATCGGGAAAGAATGAAAAATAAAATCGAAAATTGGCGGAAAAAAGGTGAGACGTGGTTTCAGATTACCAACAGGTTCGGTCCAGGTATACTACTTCTTGTTCCGCTAGAAGAACCGGATGGCCAGTGAGTGACACCTATTGCTGAGTTTAAAACCTTACAAACAGCTCCAGGAAGCTAACTATAGACTCAGTTTCAAATTTACAAAAGACGAATTGGCGCAGTTCCTGCGGGCTCTAACCTCCCGCAGGCCTGAATTTGACCATAAATTGGCCGACGCCAATCGGTTTATGGCAGAGACATTCAATAGTCAAAGTAGTCGCTTCTGTGGTAATGAAGCCCCCTCAGGCCCTCTCAATTCAACTAACCAAACGGATGAACAACAAGAGACACCGACTCATTCTCAGAAGGCTTCTAAGCAAAAGCCTCAAGAATTCCAATTAACCCACTCCTTAGACACCTTCCATGCAGAAGACGAGACTTCATCTGTTTTCGAAGATAATTGCACAAATCAACCCCATAATACTATTTCGATTCTGTCGGGAACTCCCTTGACATCGCCGTTCGAACAAAGTCCAATCTCCTCCTTCTTTCTCGAGGAGCTACATTGTATAAATGCAGTTTCTCCTGGAAGCGGGATCGCCTAAGTCCATGGACACTTTTGATCTCACTAATTAAGTGTGAGGTGCTAGGAGCTATAACTTGTCCGTTTTATGCCTAAGAGGATTTGGCTTAGTTAGTTCATTTCAGTTTTACGTTTATGTAGGGATGGGGGTTAGACCGGAAGATCTCAGTTAGCCTTTCAGAGCATTTTGCCATTAGCTTAGAATCAATCACAGTACTTAACTCTTAGTGAATAGAATCAACAATAGCCTTGCATATTCCCTCCACGGCAGCCCTCACCAAATTAGTGTGCCTCTTGCAGACGACGTGAATATTCCATCGCCTAATGTTCCGTCGAAAAGGTTGGTCGTAGAAAGAATTTCTTCCGAGTAATGGTGGACAGATTTTTGTATCCAATAAACGTCTATATCACCGTCTACCAATGAAAAACTAAGTTAGGACGATTTAAAAACATACTGACGATTGACCTTGAATGACAATTTCGGATTGATGAAGCTATGCTGCTGGGGTATTGGCTGTCACCTTTAACAACCTATGACAACTGGTCAGGGTGTGCCTGTCATGGTGCTCCCAAAGTCAGGGTGCCCAGCAATTCCGGGCAGTTCCATCCACAGTACCCCAACAGTAGCGTAGACGAGTAATTACCAGTATATAAAAGTAGAGAAGGCCTAGGAAAAGTACATAGACATAGGGCAACTACGAGGGCTATTAGCAGCGGAGCATCTATGCTGGAGCAGAAGAAGCAATCTGATAAGATAGCTTACTTTCGTCAATGGAGAAAGCAAGGGTTACCTATTCTTATAGCTAAACCCTATATAGCTGCCCCGAAGGGCGGCTGGTACAGCCCTCATCCCTGGTACTCACTTTCCGGGAGCTCTCTTGTCTGGGAGCTCTCTCGTCTGGGAGCCCTCTCTTCTGGGAGGCCTCTCTTTTGGGGGC